CAGGCTGGAGTGCAGTGGCGCGATCTCAGCTCACTGCAACCTCCACCTCCTGAGTTCAAGCAATTCTCCTGCTTCAGCCTCCTGAGTAGCTGGGACTACAGGCACGCGCCACCATGCCCAGCTAATTTTTGTATTTTTAGTAGAGACGGGTTTTCACCACATTGGCCAGGATGGTCTCAAACTCCTGACCTCGTGATCTGACTGCCTCGGCTTCCCAAAGTGCTGGGATTACAGGCATGAGCCACCGCGCCTGGCCATCTTCTTCAATGTTATATGACAGGCATGCATGACCTTTATAAAAATAAATGTGCTAACTGGGAGCAATTTCTGGGGACATTTTAGGGTGCAGGGAAGGCTCTTTGCCTCTACCTGGATGCTTTTTGCATGGGTGTGTATAAACATGAAGTCAGTCAGGTTCTGTGCTTAATATTTATGAATATTATGCATGTTATGCTTCAGTTAAAAGAAGAAAAAATACCCGGGCATGGTGGCTCACACCTGTAATCCCACCACTTTGGGAGCCCGAGGCGGGCGGATCACATGAGGTCAGGAGTTCGAGACCAGCCTGGCCAACATGGTGAAACCCCATCTCTACTAAAAATACAAAAATCAGCCAGGCGTGGTGGTGGGCGTCTGTTATCCCAGCTACTAGAGAGGCTGAGGCAGGAGAATCGCTTGTACCCAGGAGGCGGAGGTTGCAGTGAGCCGAGGTCGTGCCACTGCACTCCAGCCTGGGCGACAAAGTGAGACTCTGTCTAAAAAAATAAATAAACAAAATTTTAAGCCCAAAAAAAGTCTAATTTCCCCATAACTACTTCATCATTTTTAGAAATATAAAATATCCAAATTTTTCCTCAATAAGAGGCTTTTCCACTTCTTCTTCTTCTTTTTTTTTTTTGTCTTTTGTTGTTGTTTTTCTGTTAATTTCTGGTTTTCTTCTCTCACTGGTGCCCTGGGGAATCTGCCTGGTGGATTTATTACGTGGTCCAGTTTGACTACCCCTTCAGCTTGGACACCACCCTGGAGACCTGGAACTCCATCGAACCCCCGCCCATGTCAAGGAGCAGGAAGAGCACATGCAACGCTGTCTGCGGCGTGGGGCGCCCACTGGTGCTCCCGCTCATCTCTGAGTGTTCAGAGTCCAGCATGATATCCGGCACTGAGCAGTGTCCAACAAACAAACTCGTCAGTCCACAGGCACACACGTGGCCACGGTACAGCTTCCTAGTCCTACACACACAGCCTGCTTGTCATACACAGGCCAGGGTGCACACACACAGTCACACCACACGCACTTCATCCATGTCCACCTACACACATACCTGGTCCGGTGCACATCCCCATGCATGGACACACAATTTTAACCACACATGAAGTTTCGGGTCCAGGCTCAGCAGCAAATGCCCACTGCACCCTGGCCCCAAGACATTCTCCTTCCAGGGCTTGAACCCACTCAGTGGGAAGGAACGAACTAAATACCCAGAAGAAACTAACCAGGCTGGCTGGGCTCAGTGGCTCACGCCTGTAATCACAGCTCTTTGGGAGGCCGAGGCAGGCGGATCACAAGGTCAGGAATTCGAAACCAGCCTGGCCAGCATGGTGAAACTCCGTCTCTACTAAAAATACAAAAAATTAGCCAAGCATGGTGGCGCAGGCCTGTAGTCCCAGCCACTCAGGAGACTGAGGCAGGAGAACCCGGAGGCAGAGGTTGCAGTGAGCCGAGATTGCGCCATTGCCCTCCAGCCTTGACGAGAGTGAAATTCCATTTCAAAAAAAAACACAAAAAACAAAATTAGCCAGGCAGGGCGGGGGGTGCCTGTAATCCCAGCTACTCGGGAGGCAGAGGCAGGAGAAGTTGCAGTGAGCTGAGATTGCACCACTGCACTCCAGCCTGGGCAACAAAGAAATACTTCTCAAAATATAATAATAACAATAAATTAATTAAATAATTTTTTAAAAATTAAGAATCATAGAGATTGGGCTGGGCACGGTGGCTCACACCTATAATCCCAGCACTTTGGGAGGCCAAGGTGGGCGGGATTACCTGAAGTCAGGAGTTCAAGACCAGCCTGGCTAACGTCTGGCTAACATAGTGAAACCCCATCTATAAAAAAAAAAAAAAAAAAATTGTAAAGATCAAGATCAATGGTGATACAAGAAGATATGCGGTCTGGAAGAGCAAACCAGGCAAAATAATCTGTAGAAAGTTTTTTAACTTCTCTGAGCCTCAGTATCACCGCCTGACAAATGAGCTTAACAATATTTCCCAAATATCCACTCGTGTGAAAAGCTTGTAAGTGGCATGGTTTCAGTGCCACCAGCTTTTACATTATACTATGAATCCTCAGGCCAACCCTACTTAGTAGGTGTTATTTACCCAATTTTAGAAACAGAAACTAAGACTCATAGATGTTAAGTAACTGGCCAAGATCACAAGCTAGTGAATGGGAAGGCGGGTAAAACAAGGCTGTGAGACGCCAGAGCCTGTTGCCCTTTCCACCACCAAGCACACCGCTGCAGACGGCATCGAGGGCAGATGGGATGGGCACTGCCACAGCCCATGATGGACGGTAGGGGGAGAAGTGCCCCCCCAGAAGCAGCATGTGTCAAGGCAAAGAGGTGGCACAGAGCTCATGTGCGCAGTGCCTGGCTGTGAGCAGAGCTGTGTGGCTGGAGCAAAGCTGCTCTGAGAGGTTGGGACCCCGCTGCAGAGTGTCATTCAAGGCCAGGCTGAGAAACCAAGGATGGAATCTGCACAAGGGGAGCCCTGGTCAGGCTGCCTGGGAGGAAAATGGCTGTGGAAAGGATTCAGGACCAGAAGACTCAGTAGGAACCCCGGCGGTGGGGCAGACAGTGACAAGATGCACATGGGGCAGGAGCAGAGGTGACTGTGAGAAGCAAGAATCAGTAGGGCTGGGGAGCCACACACCCACAAACTCGCCAGTACTCTGTAAGCAGCCTGTCACTTTTTCTTGCTTTCTTTCTATTCTTTTTTTAAATTTTGACACAGAGTCTCGCTCTGCCACCAGGCTGCAGTGCAGTGGCGCAATCTTGGCTCACCAAAACCTCTGCCTCCCCGGTTCAAGCAATTCTCCTGCTTCAGCCTCCCGAGTAGCTGGGACTACAGGCACACGCCACCACGCCCAGCTAATTTTTGTATTTTTAGTTTCACCATGTTGGCCAGGATGGTCTCAATCTCTTGACCTTGTGATCCGCCTGCCTCAGCCTCCCAAAGTACTGGGACAGCGTGAGCCACTGCGCCTGGCCCCTCCCTGCCACCCACCCTCCTTTCTTCTTTTCTTTTCTTTCTTCTTTTTCTTTCTTCTTTCTTCCTTTCTCTGTTTTTCTTCTTCCTTTCTCTCCTTTCTCTCTCTTTTTTTGAGACAGAATCTTGCTCTGTCATCCAGGCTGGAGTGCAGTGTCACAATCACAGCTCACTTCAGCCTTGACCTCCTGGGCTCTGGTGATTCTCCTGCCTCCCGCTCCCAAGGAGCTGAGACCACAGGTGTGTGCCACCATACCCAGCTATTTATTAGTAGAAGTAGCAGCAGTAACGAGGTCTCCCGGTGTTTGCCAGAGTGCTCTTAAACTCCTGAGCTCAAGGGATCCTCCCACCTCCCAAACTGCTGGGACTACCGGCTTGGGCCATCAGTATATAATTTTTTTTTTTTTTAAGACGGGGTTTCACCATGTTGGTCAGGCTGTTCTTGAACTCCCGACCTCAGGCAATCCACCCGCCTTGGCCTCCAAAGTGCTTGGATGACAGGCGTGAGCCACTGCGCCCGGCCGAATATATATATTTTTAAATAGAGATGGCATCTCTCTCTGTTGCCCAAGTTGGTTTCAAAACCCTGAGCTCAAGCAATCCTCCCACCTCAGCCTCCCAAATTGCTGGGATCACATGTGTGTGCCACCTCGCCCGGCCAGGTTTTCACTTTCACTATCCCGGGTCCAACAAAGTCTAACCTGCCCGGCCCTGCCTCTGCTCCTCCAGGGTCCTCTGTCACCGCTTCACAGGCACACTGTCCTTTTTTTGTTTGTTCCCACATTTAGAGCTTTGTGCGCTCCATCTCCTCTGCCCAGGGATGCTTGACTCTTGATCACCATATAACTCTTTTCTTTTCTTTCTTCTTCCTTCCTTCTCTCTCTCTCTTTCCTTCCTTCCTTTCTCCCTCCCTCTCTCTCTCTCCTTCTTTCTCCACTGTGCCTAACTCCCCTTCCTCCTCATCCAGGTCTCAGCTCAAATGTCACCTCCTCAGGAAGCCCTCCCTGATCCGTCCAGCTAGCAATGTCACCCGCACACCCAGTCACGTGCTAGCACATGAAGCTGGTTCATTTTCTTTTTTTTTTTTTTCTTTGAGACAAGGTCTCACTCTGTTGCCCAGGCTGGTGTGCAGTGGTACAATCACCACCCCCTTCGGCCTTGACCTTCTGGGCTCAAGCAAGCCTCTCACCCCAGCCTCTCCATAGCTGGTACCACAGATGTGTGCCACCATATGCAGCTTATCTTTTGTAGAGACAGGGTCTCACTATATTGGACAGGCTGGTCTCAAATTCCTGGGCTCAAGCAATCCTCTTGCTTCAGCCTCCCAAAGTGTTGGGATCACAGGCGTGGACCACCACGCCCACCCAAGGCTGTTTCATTTTCTGCATAACACTTCTGAGAATCTGAAATGATCCAATTTATTGGGTTATTTGTTCGATCTGTAACCTCCCACTGGAACATAAGCTCCGTGAAAGCAGGGGCCATGTCTGTCCTGTTCACTCCAGTATTACCAGCATCTTAAACAGCACCCTGTGCACAATAGATGCTCAGCACATATCTGTTGAATGAATGATGCAAGGGAAAGGGAAGTGAAAGGAAACGGAAAGAAGATGGGACCAAAGTCAGATATCGGAAAGAGCAGGGAAGTTGGCTGGGCAAGGGAGGCCTTCGCGGGTGGCCTCTGACTGCTGCTATGTTTGAGGTGATGTGAGCTACCCAAGGGGACAGGTCCCAAGCAGGAGGCAGAGGCAGGAGCCCAGAGGCTGGAGGTAGAAATGCAATGGAGAGAACAGATACACCCTTGTCAAAGGAAAATGTTAAAGAGGGGTCAGAGGGGCACGAATGAGCCCGGGGGTCCGCACACCTTGCAGGAAGGGAAGGTTCACAGGGACAGGAAGCAGGCGCAGGGCAGGGCAGCGGCAGATCGCACTCAGGCTCACATACATGTTGCAGTGAGCATGAACAAGGCCTCCCTTCCTCAAAAACTAACAGGAGACTGGGACCCAGGTGGTGCACGGACTTACCCACGGGACAGCATCTCTCTGGAGGGATGAAGTCACGGCAGAGGGCCTCAGTGGGCGGGGCTGAGCCAGTGGCACAGCTGTGCACGGTGGCCCAAGCCAGGTGAGGAAGAACTGCTCAGAAATCAGCCAGTTCCTCCTCAATCCAGCCTGCCAGGCCAATGGCACCGCAGGGACAAGCCCTGGACTAATAGTCTCCTGGAAAAGGACAGGTGGGGCGGGGCTGGCCTGAGACCGCCCACAGCAGCCAGCTTCCCTGCAGCCCCAGTGCGGGAGTCCAGCAGGCCCTCCCGCCGGTCCAGGGCTGCCTTCCCTCGGGGGAGGAGGAGCCACCTGGAGCTCCACCTGGAGCTCAAGCTGACAAGAGCGGCGGGAGGTTGGGTAGGGGCAAAGACCAGGAAGTAACTCTGGCTCAGGGAAGAGCAACCAATGGGGGAAATCTCTCAGTAGGCGCAAACCAAAGGGCCTAAGGAAAAGCCCTAACAGTCCAATTCCTCAGAGAAGGAGGTGCGCCCTGTGCCGGCCAACCCACTCAGGGCGCTGAGGGGCCCAGTCCAACCTCTTACCCTGCCCTGGGGAAAGGGGAGGAGCCTCAGCCCTCGCTGGAGCAGGGTTAGGCCCAGCCAGGAGTATAGGAAAGAGCTGTTCAGGGGGATGCGGCCTGGAAAGGCAGAGTGAATCTGGGGAGGAGAGGTGGGGGTTGTCAGGTCCACAAAAGACTGACACCGGGAACGGTGGCTCACGCCTGTAATCCCAGCACTTTGGGAGGCCGAGGTGGGTGGATCATAAGGTCAGGAGTTTGAGACCAGCCTGGCCAAGATGTTGACACCCCGTCTCTACTAAAAATACAAAAATTGGTTGGGCGCAGTGGCACGCGCCTGTAGTCCCAGCCACTCAGGAGGCTGAGGCAGGAGAATCGCTTGAACCTGGGAGGCGGAGGTTGCAGTGAGCCGAGATCGTGCCATTGCACTCCAGCCTGGGTGACAGAGTGAGACTCCGTCTCAAAAAAAAAAAAAAAAAAAGAAAGAAAGACTGACACGAAGGCTGTCACAGAGTCGCAGACACGTTTATTATTGTCTGGAACATCAAGGCCTTTCTTTCCCTGGCAGTGGCACAAGGGAGGGCCAACTCTCAGGAGGCAGCCACGCTGCCACCAGCAGCAGGTCCATGGGGTGGCAGCGTCATGGGTGGCAGGAACAGTGCCTTCAGCTTGCCTGACAGGCTGGCAATCTCAGGATCCTGGGCTTCGTAGGATTTGACCAAGCGGGCAAACTTGAGGACACCTGCAAGAGGGAATGGAGGGTCAATGCTTCCCCTAAGAACCGGTGTGCCTAAGACAGGTGGAGGGGGTGGTAGTCTGAGCTTGAGCTGCTCCCCAACTGGCAGGGCAGCTGTTTGCAAAATAGCACATGCAGGACTCTGCCCCACGTAGTTTGGATCAACTTCTTGTTCTACGTTGGGCACAGCTGGATGGGGTGCAGTGAATGAAGATGTCCCAAAGCAGTGTGCTTCTCGCCCTCAAGTGAACCGTTTTAGCAGTTTAGTCACAAGAACCCCAAGTATGAACACCCACGAGATCCCAGGTCTGTAGCTGGAATGCAGGAATGCTACGGGGCAGCAGAGCTGCCTCAGTCAACACCTTTGGGGAACACCAGGATCTCGCCAAAAATTTAACCACCAACCCCTAAACAGAAATGAGCTGAAACACCCTGGAGGGACTGCAGCTGCTTGTGTCATGCAGACATCTCACTAAAAGGTGGCAGAACAGCGTCTAAGTCCAGCTCTGCTACGACTAGAGTCTGCACCATTAGTGTTTGCTCCCTCATCACAGAATGGAATGATAATGTGATTAACAGCACAGGTTGATGATCCTTAATTAGAAAATCCAAAATCTGAAATCATTTGAGTGCCAATGTGAGGCCACAAATGGAAAATTACACACCTGACTTCATGGTGGGGGTTGAGGTGACTGTAGTAAAACGCAGTCGAAACTTTGTTTCATGAACAAAATTATTCAGACTTTTTTTTTTTTTTTTTTTTGAGACGGAGTTTCCCTCT